ATATATATATATATATATATATACATATACATATTGTGTTACAAACTTCAAGATTTATTGACATTCTGTATTGTTATCTTTGTTTGAAAAAAATACAGTACAATATTTAATATATATTATTTGGATTTCTATGCGTATTTGTTAGAATTATCATCATTCGTTTCATCTTTTAAAAGGTGGAACCTTATCATTTAATATATACTTAAATATATACATATACATATTTAAAATACACAATGTATGGTTGTAGTTATCAAGAATTAGCTAACAGAATGATGTCATCAATTGAGGGTAAATAAATTTATTATTCATAGAAACTATCATCTTTTAAATTAAATTTTGACTTACTTAGGCATATTTATGTAAAGTATAATTTTATGTATCCATTATTTATGATTATGAAATTCTTTTTACTATATAGAATTTCAAGAGGCATTTCAACTGTTTGACAGTCGAGGAGATGGAAAAATTCACGTAGCCCAAATTGGCGATGCATTGCGTGCTCTAGGACAAAATCCAACTGAGTCAGATGTTAAAAAATTTACTCATCAACACAAACTTGATGAACGTATTAGTTTTGAAGTGTTTCTACCAATTTATCAAGCTATAAGCAAAGCTCGCACATCTGATACAGCTGACGATTTTATAGAAGGATTACGTCACTTTGATAAAGATGGAAATGGTTTCATTTCTTCTGCTGAACTGAGACACCTTTTAACCACGCTAGGTATGTATGACAATATTTTTTTAGTAATTATTCATTACATGATCATATCATATATAATTCATTTTCTAATTCACAGACTAATTAATTACTTGTATTTTTTGGTAGGTGAAAAACTGAGTGATGAAGAAGTTGAAACCCTATTGGCTGGTCATGAAGACTCGCAGGGTAACATTAATTATGAAGATTTTGTTCGACAAGTGATGTGTGGTTAAATTCCCATCTTACTAGATACAAGTAATTATCAATCAAAGAAATTTGTATCTGCCATAAAGTATTTTTCAAGCATTTAATTCCTTTTATTTACTTGTATTGTATTTTATTATTATTGAATACTACATAAGATTATACATAATAGACATCCCAATATAATGCTTTATTAGGAGGATAGAATAACATTAATCTCCTTTTGTTTGTTTATATAATATATTATGCCTTGATGTGAAGGATTCATAAAAGAGAATATTCAAAATTGAAACTAATGTGAAATTTAAAGAAAGGAAAGGATTTAATTATCCCATAAATCTTTTAATTTATGTATTAATTTGAGTAATTATTTTTAATATTTGTCATTAATTTTATATATCAGTATACATTTAGAACTTGTATGTAAATGGAAATATCCTTTCTTGTTATTTATAAATATGAAGAATTGTGCACTGACGAAAATAAAATTTATTAAAAGTGAAACCTAAGTACAAAATTTAGATATTTTTTATGCATTTAATTATCTGAAATAAAAAACAGGGCATGTACTTTTTTGAAATATATCTATAAACACCTCATTCCCGAAAAATATTAAAAGAGAGACATCTTCATTAGTTCACATATAAAGATGTTAATATTTTAAATGCTCATTAAAAGTTATTAATTGTGTAAATAGAATGTTATGAATGAAAAAATCTAATCGATTTGTATCGACTCGATATAACTCGAATCGAATCGAACGAAGTCGACATTTAAGGAGGAGCGCTTCAGTATCGTTTCATTCGCCTGAATAGCACGGTTGCCTTGGTGTGTTAGTAACTCTACGATAACTCTTATCGGATAGCGATCGCTGGTCTAGCGAATATTTCATTGTGGAAAAGTAAAAATTACGGCCGCCAAAATTTTACGAAGAAAGAAGTATGAGTATTAACTCCGGTTTACCATTAAGTAATTGTGGAAGTACTAAAAAAGGCATAATAATGCCAAGTTTAATATCCAGCAATTGGTAAGTACCGTGCGACTACTGCGCCATTTCTGCCTTTGCTTGATCATCGCCATCTTATATTCTATTTATTGGAATTTATGTTATCCTTACAATTTTTCTTCAACCAAAATACTTCTTATAAAAGCTATATTAATAGCAAATGTCGAAAATCATTATTTTCTTTCATGAATAAAAATTTCATCAGAAGTACTTCAGAAATATGCAAACAACGCATTAATAATTCACATTACCTTTCGATTCTATCATTTACCTTGATAGTAGTAAAAATCTTCGGATTTATAATGTATTTTATAATCACTGTTATATTCTCTTGTATGCTAGGAATACTTATAAACAAAATTATACATTAAAGAGATATAATATTTTGGGGTAAAGTGATTTGATAGAACAAATACAAACTAATTAAAACTAATGGTTCGAAAATAAAATGATAATGAAATTTTAACGCGACCTATAATTTTTTGAAAGTATTATTTCCATAATATAATACGCTGCCACGTGAATCGTGAACATCCATCGCGTGACGTAGAATCGGCGCGTATGCGTCGACACATTGTACGTGTCAGCTGTTTCTTCTCTACATGTAAAGCACAAAAATCTAATAAACAAATTTTGTTACAACTTTATTTCGACCGAATAAATTCCTTTTCATAAGAATAAATATCGAGGTTGCATTGATATTATAGCAGTTTTTACTAATTAGCAATATCGTATATATATAATACAAACTGTTATACTGAAACGGAAATAATCGTACATTAGATGTATATGTGTAGTATATAGACAAAGCATAGAGATTTCTTACATAATTCTTATTGTAGTCTAGAAGTTGGCATGTGTGGAATAAAATCATGATATAATCATACTTTCAATATTAAATCATAGTTAGAAGAAAATAGTTGTCAAAACAAACTAATTTTACTGTAACGATATAAATAAAATATATAGTAATTAATTACTTCTTTCAAGCATTAAGTAATAAATGTGAAATCATCAATTTTCCACGGTGACAATTGCGTTATTTTTATTACGGTGCGAACGATAACCAATCATATAAAATCGAACGGGAAGACGAAATGAGTCACTACGAATCTTTATGAAAATGCATATTCAGTTTTTATATAATTAGCAGTCTGAACAAAAATATCCACAATGCAATTTTAATCTCGTCTTTTTCCTCGTTTCACAATCGTACAAAGATAAATTTGAATGTACTTAGTAGAAACTCGTTGATAACGAATGTACTTACAATAAACAGTGATATCTAAATTTACAAGCGTATCTAAGCATACATAGTCTTAATCATAATTATCTTCCTCAATAAGTTCACTTCATTATCGAGAAATGCTATATATATATATGAAGAAATGTTATATATATATATGTTGAAAAAATTCTCTATCGCTAACATTAATCATGTGTTTGTTAGCTCCTTTGAACTATTCTATAATTAATTTCAATTTACGATATATTTGTCAATTTCATATCAACCGGTTTTATTAATATGTTTGAGTTCGAAATTCTATGATTTTCCATGAATACCTTATCTAATACATTACGCGCCACATACGTGCGGCAAGTATAAGATTCCAAGAAACGAAAAACGAATATAATTTTTATCTTTTTAAGACATTGTGAAGTGAAATGTAAATATATACAAAGAAAGATAAAATACTTAAAAATATAAATAACCTGATAGATAATTAAAAAAAGGAAATTTAATTACTCAGTAATAAAAGTATATCAGACAATAATGATAACATAACTAATCGTGGGCACAATAAAATTTAATTGACAAATAAAGTTTTGCAACTGATATATACTTTAGGCATATAAAATATGAATTGACGGAATATATGGAATTACAGTGACATGTCAAGTAAATATATGGACGAAAGTTTAGAGGAAGGCTCTAGATTCCAACAACATTATTGTATAACGTTGGGTGTGGGGCCTCTGTGGTGGTCCTGATGTGCCCCATGCCGCATTGTCTGTATCTACAGTCAACACAGAGAGCCGCGGCGTGGGGATCAAGCAGAGTCAGCTCTCTGTGAGCTCCCACATTGTTCAAGTACGTATTTACAATTATTATATTGCATGAAAATATTTTTCTATATCATAATACTATTTAAAGTATTATATTTTCTATATTTAAATTTTCTCTATATTTGTTTATAAGGTTTATATGTATAATTCCAATCATGTTACTAGGAGGATGAATTATTGAAAGCTGTGCGAAATAGCGAATCATTACGCTTGACATTTACTCTACATTTGACGGAAAGCACATCCGTTGAATGGGAAACTGTAGTATGGCGTCATTGTCTTTATATTCGCGTGCCAAGCTGCCTTTTACCCGAAGGTTCAAAAGAAGGTTTCGTGTCTCTCCTGGAATACGCTGAAGAAACATTACGATGTACAAATATCATCATTTGTCTGCGTAAAGACAGAGCGGATCGAGGTACTTGTCGTCAACCGTTCTTTGACTCCAATGAAAATGATTATGAGGAGAAAAGTTTCTCGTCTAAAACACTTTGTTGTTATGGTTTAGCAATGCTGGTTCGTACCTTCATGTTTTTGGGCTTCACTGTACTACCGCCGACTCACTCCTTGGTACCACCAGGCAGTGATGCTGGCAATCTCTACATGCTCTATGCCATCGAGTAGTCAACCAGAAGCTCGACTTCTCTTTCAAATTTAACGCACAGGTATTTTTTTTTGTTTTTGTTTTTGCGTAAATATTATCACTTTAACCAGTCCATTTTTTGTCGATCTAAGCTTCTAAGCTTTGCTATTTCCAAGTAACTCTTATCGTTTTTCTATACTTTCTTTTTCTTTTTTGCCTTTTTCTCAATTACAGGGGCTAACAAGTACATAAACGGAAACGTATACGTTCTACAACCATCGGAACGAAAAATAAATTACAATCCAAAGGTCTTAAATAGTAAACGGAATTTCTTTCTTTTCTATTTTCTTTGCTAGTTTATGTTATTTACTACTAAGAAAAATCACAAGTTTAGGATTTCACGAAAAAATATATAAAAATTCAAAATTTTCATTTCGCAACTTGCTATGATCATAAAATAAATTATTGTATTAGAAACTAACGACTTCGAAAGATGTAAAGTATGTAAAATATGTCAAAAATAACATTTCCAGCACCTTGGCGTTAAATTTAAGAGAAATATCTTTATATGTATACGTACGTACATATATATATAGGGAGAGAGAGAGAGAGCGAGCGAGAGAGAGAGAGAATGAGTGTGAGAGCGAGAGAGACATGAAGATGTACGGAGAAAAACGGAGAAATACAGAACAAACCGAAACTGATAGTCGGGTATATGTAGATCGCCAACATAACAGGTTGTGGGCGGAAATGTCGATTCATTCTCTTGAATACAATGTTAAGATCATATGAACAGCTGACGAAGCTTCCCACGTAAAAAATTTGACGGTATCAAGGCTTAAAAGTTACATAAACCTATGAAACGTCAAATTATAAAAGAAATTTACTACTAATAAATCTCAATGTTAATTGTATCAAATTGGATTTTACCGCGTTTTATTCTGTATTATTATACATTTTTAAAATCATTTGTAAGTATTATTATTCTATATACACATATACAGATATTTTATACATGTAACGATGCGCAACTAGTGTTTGGTTTGTCTTAAATAATTAATTTTTGTTTAACTTGTATTTTTTACATGATGTATACAAATTCATTACTTTCCCAATAAAGATTAGTTCAAATAAAGCATCAACTTGTGATACAATTTATGAAACTTTGATATCATTCTGTATCTGTAATGAGATGTGAAAACATAATTCTAAACATAATCCCAATTAAAAGATATATTTATAATATTTAAAATATTTCGTTAAAATATTTACTAAAACAATCAATTACACACTGGTAGCGATCGTTGTAATTGTAACTAGGTCGATATTTTCTTTTTGCTTTATTATGTTTAGGTATTTAAATAATATTTCTAATGATTGTAATTATAATTATAATCTTTGGTAACCCGAATCAATTAACATTGTGGAGTTTGTTTTAGTAAATGCGTTCTTTAGTGTTGACTTGATAATAGATGACGTTAAATGACGTAAAAAAAGTGTTAATAGCTTGCTAGAAATATAGATAAGTACAGAATAATGAATTAGTATACGTTAACGCAAATAGTTTACGATTTATCTTGAGTTTTCAATTGAAAATAAAACTCTGCGTTCTATTAACTAGTATTGTATACTGTATTGATATAGTTGATTACATGGAGATACATGTATGTTACATTTATTATTGTGGAATTACCGAAAACACTCTTGCTAAATAAAACTTTAGAAAAATGCATAAATTTTGTACTTCGTTCTATATCAGAAGAATTAAAGAAAAAATTAACTTTTATATGTATACCTTTGTATATACAATGTCCACACACGCACATAAAAGTAGTGCTCAAGTCCCCACTTAGCAGAAGCTCCATATCCTCACCAGTCCGTTCCTGTAACTAGCTTCATTGTGATAGGTGACCTCGAAACTCTGCATTTCGTATATTAAACAAACTTTTCTCTGTATCTTACTTATACTCAACGCTTTTCACTTTAACTCGAAACTTGAAACCTATTGAAAGTCTAGAAAGTCAAAGAAATAAATTTCTGGAATATATTTTTCCGAATAGCTACAACGATAAAATATCGAGTTTTTGTAACTACGCAAACACTACTATATAAAGAATTATATACTTAGATACATGTTTTAAACTTGTAGTATCTTCTCGTGTAATAATAATTTATTACTTCATATAAAGGTACAACTCAGCAATATAATCGTATTAATAATATTGATATAACATAATTCAATGATTGTTTTATTCTATTATTATTGTAGTAATATTAGCAATGTTTCCAAACAATACAGATTGCATGGCGTATATGAAGTGTTGGTGATTTAAATTATGTTCATTGAAGATTTTTAGTAACAATATGATGAATGAAATTTCTATTCATGGTTATTTTATGGTTTCTTTAATTGAAATAACAGAGTACGAAAGTAAGCAATAAAAGTGAAAACGAATGTATCAATACATGATATAATATCGACCCGATTTATAAGATGTTTTTTTAAAACATTCTTATTCAAGTAACTTGTTATCTTGCACTAATTACACAGATGTAACTTAGAACGATTTGAAATATTGGATAATTCTCTAAACAGTTATACAACTTATCATCTACGACACCTAATTAATTCAAAAACTTGTACTTCACTTCATTTTATTTTATAGTAAATTAGTCCTTTTAATGTCAATATCTATTTCATCTGAGTTATTTTTTGGTACCAAACCTAAACTGTTTAACATACCGGATGGTGCTGTATCCTCAACCGGGTAACCAGACACTTTGTTACATTTAATCAAATGTGTGGCTAATTGATTTCCATCGGTTGTTGCATAACCGCATGAACATCGCATCTTTTTATTTAATGGAATATTAATAAGAGGAGAAGGAACTACCAAACTGGTCATCGGTCGTTCGTTATGAATTTGTTGTTGATGTTCCTTAAACGCACGCCAACAACAAGTTACGTAGCGACACAATTGACATATTTGTTCACCTGGATAATGATCTTGTTCATCTATATCCTCTTCGCATTCTTTACAGGATAGATGTTCAATTGGAACGTTCACCGTAATTGGACCAGTGATCCATTTTTTAACTCTTTCATCGTGTGGTAATTCCGTAACTGGACTATCGATTTCAAATCGTCTATTTTGAAATCGTTGTTTTGAAATCATTATTCCGTTATTACTAAGTGAATACGGAACAACCTTTGTACTAGACACAGAGTCATGCAATTCCTTTTGATGTCTTTTTAATGAACTTTTCTGATTAAACCAAAGACAACATTTGGAACATTTATTTCCACGTCCTTGTTCCCTTCTGATAACATGTCTTTGCATATGTAATAAGAATGCGTGAACGCTGGTAACATTGGGGTTGCCTTCTTTTGCAAAATCTATTACTTTCAAACAATAAGGACACTGTAACCCTTCGCCCTTTTCATGACCACGATAGAAATGATCAATAGCGTCTTTATGACTGGAAGTACGATAACCGCAAATTTCGCATCGGTAAGGCATCTCCGAAGGACAATGCATCGACGATAAGTGGTTAATTAGAAGACCAGTGTTCCCGAATTTTTGTTCACAAATGGCGCAAACAACCATGTCACTGTCAGAATGACCAAAAGTGCTGTGTGATTCCGTAATGTGTGTAATCATCTGATGTTGAGATGAAAATGCAGTGCAACAATACCGGCATACAGGAGAATTTGATTGTCCGGGTACTTGTGGTGGCACATGGCCAATAGTGTGTTCCATTACATCTGTATTTGAACGCAATATTGCAGCGCAAAGAAAGCATTTAAAATATAGGGAACTTTTATGTTCCTTTAAAAGAAGAGCTTTATCACCTTCCATAGTAGCGTAGTAAAATTCTTGCAACTGTATCTGATCGTTTTTACATTCCTTATCTATTTCTCTGATGCCTTTTGAATCGTAGATGGCTTTTTTCACCTCTGGCTCTGGGCTAATGGCTGTTGTTGGATTTCTCTTTCGTCCCCTCTTCGGACCAGGTTTCGTTGTTTGAACGGAAGGCAATGTTTCTTGTTGTTTCATGTTGCTACTACTTGGGATCAAAACTTCGCAGCCCGAAAAAAATTCTTCTTTATTTATCGTCATAAGTGGTGTCAATGGTGGTGAATTCGTATTTGAGTAAGACCAGTTATGAAACGGATTAGCACCTATCTTATTCAAACGATCTATGAGACATTCGTTTGACTCGATTCCAGTTTGCTCTGCGATATGTTCGATAATGTTGTCAAATGCTCGGGCAGCAGTCGTTCCGTACATTTCTCTCCATACTAATTCGTCCAAAAATTGTTGTATCATTTGTCTACTAAGCAAACTAAGAGTATTTTGAAACATTCTCGGGACAATTTTTCTTAAATATTCCATAATGTGATAATTGCTCATAAAATTTCGAGGACCCTGATCAGAAAATGCTGACTGTGTAACATGATTAAAACCCATTTCTTCAAGAGTGCTTTTATCAACGGTGAAGTCGGTCATAATTTTCGTATCCGGGTGTACCCACTCCTTCAGTGGGTGTAAAATATTATTGAACCGTCGTTTATATGACCTATCACCATCTTGCACCGGATCACACGCTCTTAATCTTAAATCAAGTGTGGCATAATGCAATACACCAAGTACTTCGACTTTAACTTGTCGTAAATTTCCGTCCTGCGATGTTGTACCTAAGCTAATTACACCAACTTGTATCACGGAATTTTTACCTCCCATTTTACGAAATTTATCGCAAATTGCGGCAGTACAAACACTACGTAAATGTGTATAAAAATTTTTCACATATACATTTGATACCTTTACCCAGGAAGTAACATTTTGAACATTTGTTTGGCATGCCCAATGATAAATTAATTTTAAAAGAATGGTAGGTGTATATGTAGCACTCTGAAAAATTGAACCGGAAAAGAGGGAAACAAAACGATCTGGACAACATTCTGAAATCCAAACGTATCCTCCCGAATATGGAAATGTACCGGGATCACTATACATTCCTAATTTCAATTTCCTCTGATAATTATTATTATTATGTTGCGTACAAAATTGTTCAGACTTTACCAACCCTTGCTGTATCAACCATTCAGCAAATTTTGTAGCCGAGTACATGAGTACGCTCTTGACTTTCAAATCTGAAACGTACATTAATAATTTATATAAAGAAAAGGGTGGCAACCGATAATCACACCCATGTTAATAGGTACCTAACTCCGATCTTTCTTTCTGAGCTACTATTGGCGCGATATCCTTTGTACGAAGATTCGGTCTAGCTACGATGACCAACGAAGGAAATGTTCTGCCTCCGTTTATTTTGTTAAAAGTTACTTCCTTTCCATCTGGAAGATTCTTCTTCGATTCGTCAATTTGGTCGCAAGCTAAAGTAAAAGATTATTGGAATTAAAGCAGAAAAATTCTATTTGTCTACTACATTGACTGCAGATAAATTATCTCTAACGTCAATTCGATTTCCCAGTCAATACACAGCAATCAACATGACAATCATAAAGCGTTTAATTCCACATAAATTCTTCCTCTAACCTGCACTTTTTCCAACTGATATTCCACCAATACTCGTATGCTCAGTTGGTTTTGCAATAGCCAGTTTTGTTGTTGTTGCCGACACCGTTATCGTTGGTGATACCGTTCCTGTAGTCGTATTTATCGTAGCTGATGTTGATGACACTGTCGGTGTAACCTGTTGTTTACTTACAGTTTTTATTCTGAGATTAGTAACACCTTGCGGGCTGGTTGTAGCTAAAACATTAAATTTAATTTGCAGAAGCTATGTGTCTAGCATACGTAATTAGCATATAGCAAATTTATAGATGCTTTATATCTTACTGAAGGTATATTTCAAAGTGATCAAATGGAACTTACTTGGTGTAACAACATGCGTCGAGCATCCTAATTTCTGTTTTCCACGAGGTACTAGTGTGGGCTATATGATTAGAGTAAGATGGGATCAGTTCAACAAAAAAAAAAAGAAAAAAGATCTGGTAGTGAAACGATATTTACGCATAACATACTTCCTCTATTATATCAGATTGCTGTACTTCGAGCACTTTCGTTCTGCGTCCGGAACGAGTATACTTATACTGCAAAAAAAAAGTAAAAAAGAAAAAATAAGTTTTCTTCAAAATAGAACTTGTTAGAGCTTAATAAAGTAATGAGAAACTTTTATACATTTTCTGTTTGAGAATGTGAAATGGTAGATATAGTTGTAGCTGTAGATGTGGATGTTGAATTTGGTGTTAATGTTGAAGTAGAGACTGAACCTGATGAAACATTGGTCATAGAAGTTCCTAAAATTTATTACTTGTTACTATTGGTTTATTGTATATGCACAATAAACAATCATAAACAATTATTTACCTTGAGGCTGAGCAACGGATCCAAGAATAACTCCCATTCGTGAATCCACAACCAATTGTATGTTACCCTGAGATCCATTTGCATTATTTAATACATTCAATTTAATAGATTGGTTTTTATTTTGATTCTGTAATCAATATCACTTTTTAAAGACATAATGATAATTGTATAATACATATATATATTGTTTATAATATCCATAACACTTACTACATTGACAATAGGTTGTGAATTATTTTTAACCGTCGCTTGAGCAGGATTTGAAGGCCTGGTATACGAGAAGATACAAACACTGAGTTTGCTAAAAGAGCAGCAATTGCAAAAAGATAACATCTATGTAGAAAATGATACCTACAATGTATACTGATAACCGTTGACATTGCCTGCTTGGCATACCAATTTACCTCCATGATCTTTAACCAATTCCTCCAAAGTGGCAGCAACCTACAGGTATATAAGTAAATAATAAATTAGAGGAAAATTGAATCTACCATATAAAATTAAAAAAAAAGAGAATTGTTTAAAGAAAACAAATAAAACATACTCTGTCATAATTTTCTTTGAGTTCTAATCGTAACACTAACTGTGCTTCGCTGAGAGGCTCTTCTGAACACTCCAAATTTAAAGTCATGTGAGGTGGTCGACTGTTCGTTATTGAACGCGTAATCAGTCGTGTTTTCGGCATTTTTGTGGTATGAACAATTTTTTGACAATGTGCAGAACTGCCTACAGGAAGTAACATATATTTAACTTCAGTAAAATTTTACTGTATGTTTTTGCCTGCTTTTCCGCAAGGAACGTTGACAATACCTTCACACTTTTCGGACTAAAATGGGTTTCATACTAAAATAATGAGTGAACTGTTGCTGGGTTTTCTATACATGTAACTTCGTTTATGTGATACCATCCGATCGACTCAAAAATGAACTATGATGGCGGCGTCACCGGCGTCGCCATAATGAAACCAGTGGCAATGATCAACAGCACTGCACAACACGTTCAATGCTGTTGTATTAACAAAGGTGATAACGATAACATAATAATGATTAAGGCAGCGACTATCCGAAGATAACCAGATAATGGATAGAATCACAATGGCGAAAATATAAGTTACGAACAACACCGGCGACCTCTGTGATGGATGAGAAACTTAATGGAGGCGTGGCTTAGATTTCAGTGCACCAATCATATAGACAAGTGTTGACACTAGTATACTAAAAACATAAAAGAAATCGTCCAAAAATCGAGTCGTGAAAAATCAACATGGAAGACATGAAGGTTTATATTCTGCGTTATACATGACATACTATAAGTGTCTCAAATAGAAACAGGACACTCTATTCACTTCTGTCTCGCAAGAACGAGAACTCTGTTGTCTTCTATGTTGATTTTTCATAACTCAATTTTCGGACGGTTTTCCCTAGTGAGTGTCGAAATCTATTTATATGACCATGCTCTGGTGGTAAGATGGCAAACTACTGAACGTAGGTCCTTTGGTCTTTCTGTTCATTTATTTAAATCAGCTGATTTATCTATATTCTAAATAATCGCCAGCTTCTAACAATTAAGAATTTTTTTAATTAAAAAAATGTTCTTTATGAGCTGTTCTATTTAATCTTTTATGTATCTGTTGATGTACTTACTAAACTGTGTATTAATTGAAGAACTCGGGAGGTTGACTGATGGGATTGCTGTGTTTTTTAAACGACGTATGCGACTATCTAGAAGAAAAAATGTTGGTAAATTTCCGACACGACTTTTAAAAAATCGTAAATTTTATGTCCAACTCTATATATAATTATAATAATACTTGATGGGATAAAATCTTCCTTTGTAAAGTGTAATGAGCATACTCTCATAGACGATGATACACTCTTGCCCATTTTTAAAACTTTCACCCATGCACTGAAGCGGTCAATAATTTCCTCTTTATTTAATTTGTTTTTTAATTTAACTAAGTTTTCATTTTCACGGGGAAAATGATAAAAACGGACAGTGTCATGTTTACATGCACGACTGTTACAACCGTACACACAGCAATATACTTTACTTTTATTTTTTCTGGCAGAAAATTCCATTTTAATTTTTATAACTGCTTAAATAACTATGTGACTCTTACTACACTGATCAATTTAAAAGCATTAAATGAATTTAAAAGCACTCGTTTTTCACAACGTGTCCATTTAAACATGATCATATGAAATAATATGGATACTGGATACTCGACCTACTCTCAGTAGTTTAGTTTTGCTGTCACTAGTTGGCGTATCAAATTTTCAGTTTCCTATGGTTAATGTTTATGCAGAGTACATACGTATTTACATAAGTAAGTAAGTACATACTTGTTAAATTAAAACCAAATCTTTAGCATAAATTATTCAGATAAATTTATTACTTAGATACCACTACGACTCATAATAAATTGTAATTATCTTTTCTATATTAATTGAAATACGAAATAGGAGGATTGTCATTAAATCTTATACACATGATTATATTAGGTTATATGTATACAGTATACATACATATACATAATAAGAAACTGTTTGCCCAAGTCACGGAACATTTTAGTTATTTTCTTTGAAATTAATTAGGGTTTTTTATCTAGGTAGATTCTGTGTAATACTCTGTATTTTTTTATAAGTCTACTAGTATCATCTTAACAAATATATGTTATGTACTTCGTAATTATCCATTTATTAATTTAACGGAATTGCGATGGAAATGTATAATGTCCATAAAGTATATTTTTATCTCGAAATTGTTATTTGAAGAGAAAATAATTGTTATTATCACCTAAAGGAAATTCTGATAATGAATAAAGAAAGAAGACACTGTACATGTTGTATGCGAAAACGGCAATGAGGATAGGTTTCTTTTTTTATTGGAAGATTCTATCACTGTAGTTTCCATGACTCCTTAACGTTAGGATTATTGGTAGAACAGTTTGGTGGCGATGTTTCATGGAAGTAAATTACTGGCCAATGACGAGCGGTATATAATGGTGATTGGCGATAACTTGTATGATCCATTGTAAAATGATATGGATAATATGTTTCGCTACAAGGTCTCCATTGATCTTCGTTGGGACCCACATAACACCTACAAGATTGTTTAATTAGTTATTTATTTATTACCAGACTGTCATATTTTTATTAGAGAACTTTTGTATTATAACTTTTAAAATTTGGATTATAATACATACGGTTTACGATTAATGATAAAAAACGAAGAAAAATGGAAATAAAATGGAATTAACTCAATCGATATTAATCGTACCAAGGATGATGATATCCTTGTGAAAATCCACATTGATGACTAGGTTCGCAGCAGTAATCCCAATTACCATATTCATTTTCAATTTCACAAGACCAGAATCCAGTGATCTCATTTCGTTGACAGACGGTGCCGTTTTTGCAAGGAGAACCGTTTACCGTATAACGTCGAGATGGAGGAAGCTGGTTTGTTGCTATTCAAATAAAATTAATATATAGCGATGTTAATGTAGTTCAACCTATAACTCATTGGCTTTCCTTTTTCATCTATACTAAGAATAATTATCATTAATGATTTATGTCGGTCGAGGTTCAGCTATATACAAACGCGTGTGCTTAAGCCTAAATATAGTGTAATTTTAACGTAAAAATAACTGAAATTTTTTTCGAATACTTGAAAGCGAGGACCAGCGATTATGTATAAGAAAAAATTATTCAGAATGTTCACTTTGACAACATAAGGTCATCGAAATACTTACAATGGAAAAAGTTATGTCCATATTCGAAAGTACCAGGTTCAAGAGGGGATGCGTTGTCTCCACTAGCTAACTTATGTTTGTAATCGTGTTCATCAGGTCGAAATTTATTTCTCCATCGAGTGGGATGATAGGAAGCTGGCTCATGAGGGTGATGTATTTCGCTCTCGGGTGTTCTTTGAGCATTCGGATAACCGAACTCAGGAGGATGTGATTGATCGTGATTTTCAAATGTTGGTGCATTTGTCGTATTGAAAGCATTCGCGATTAAACCACAATATGGATCAAAATCTTTCCATGTATATAATGTGTGATCATTATCGTGAACATAGTCCAGATTTGGCCTTAGATCTCGTATTGATATGTCGCTTAAAAAACAGTTACTCCGTGTATTATCGATAGTAATGCTACGAATGAAATTAATCATTATTGTACGATACTTTTTCAACACTATACATACCTATACTAACAGACTGCGGATGTTTATGCAAATTATTATGTGTGCCTGGTTTTATGGGCACGACTCAAGAAATGGAATCCAAGCAAAGATTTATTTCGCCTACTAAATGTTATTATGATTACTATACTTTGGATATTTTATAGCGGATGTCACTGTAATCGTGCTACAACCGGGCAAAGAATGATTTCTCATTTTGTGTATTCTCGCATTTTTCAATTTCCCCTAAATGCATAAGCATTCGCAGACTACATATTAATACTCATCGAAAGTGAAGTACTCACATGTAATTAAACGACATACAAGGTACCACACCGGCGTTTCTCATCGTCGAACACCTTCGGCGGCAATCCTGTTTTGTAACAGCTCGCATCGAGGAAATCACTGCGTGAGACATTAATTTGCATGGTCTATGATATTCAGAATAACAAAGTTCGTCCATGTGCGATTGAGACGATCCCTTGTCGTACGGAGTAATTGCATTCGAATTTGATAGGGACGAAGGATGCATTTCGCAACCATAAGATAATGTATTTCTTTCATACAACTCAGCACCATCCATATCTGGCATATCGATAGGATTTATTTCTTCTGCCGGCCAATCGCTTAAGAAACAGTTAGGTGATACGCGTTCATGACTGTACACTTTGTGATTGTCCATCGCATATTTGAAAACGAAGCTTCTACAAACAAATTCTTGCGACGTGGTGCACGCAAATTGACATTCTCCAAAATCATTAACAAATATTGATTTCTTCGTGACATCCATCGGCATGGTAAATCCACTTCTGATCCTCGAGAAACATTCTTCCAAAGGATATCGATTTGTTGACTTTTTTAAGTAGCAGTTCTTAGCATCTGACGTTAATACGTAGGTATCGTAATCGCGATTTGGTTCAAGATCCGTGTAAAAATTTAGATCCTGATAGGAACGATCGCTTAGTAAACAGTTATCAGTAGGATTCGTGGTTGCCACGTTGCATCTATATAAATACAAAGAATAAAATTAATAACATAACATAATTCGAAAGGTGACCTCGACGTTCTCTAGTGAGAACGAGGTCACTGATGTTCAACTACGACGGAGTTGTTGAATTTTAACGTTCGATGAGACAAAAGCAGCTAAACACGCAGTGATTTGTGAAAGTATTTCATCAATTACCGTATTTACAAGTTTCTCGTGTTATTCAACATTTATTAAATCATTTATTATTTGATTTATTTAATCGTTATTTGGCGTTATATTTATTTCAAATAAAAAATGCCCAACCCTTAGGTATCAGTAAAAATTCTTCTATTCTTTCGCTTACCTATAAGCAAAGCTTTCGCAAGAGAAACTTGTTTCATTGGTACAAAACTCTTCGCATTGTTCAAAATCGTGTGCCGCGCAAGTCTTTCGTAAGACGCTTCTGCTTAATTTTGAACCCGAGGCAGCTTTCACTGAACATTTTCGTGTCATTTGTGATGTCTCGTGTTTTTCATAATATGGTTCTTTTGGAACGGACACGTAATTATCATTATAGCCGAATGCACTGCCGTAATTGTACAATTTCCCATAAAATTGCTCGTTCTCGTTAGGAATGGAATATTCCTGTGTCAGAGGATAGTCTAATCGTGAATTGGGAAAACGTGGCGATTTTGCGTCAAAATATCCTTTATCGTAATCAACGCGAGAGTTGACAAAGGTATTGTCGTTAATGATATCGGGATTGCGAGACTCAGATTCTTTCCAGTTGCGATTCCAATTCAAATCATGATAACGAGACGTAAAACCTATTTCGTTTGAAATAAAAGTAGTATTTTCATTAATAACGAGAAAAATATGTTAGATTATTGTTTCGTTCGTGTACTCTGTCTTATATCACTACTCTCCTTCAATTACATCGTAATCGTATCGTATCATAATCTAAATAGAATTATTTACCATGAGGCTGTTCGTAATGAAATGGTTTGCCAGATCGTGCGAGGCCATTTGAAAAATCATAAGCTGATTCGCGATATAGCGGATAATTCTCTTTATAGATCGAATGATCTGTGTGCACGAAATCTTTATTCGCATTTTCACGGTCCAACCATGTGTTTTGACTATTTTCTCGAGAACTTTTTACATAGCTTTTCCAACGTGGTATACCGTTATCATGCCATGCTGAGGAAGGGCAATTGTCAACCTTCTCGTAATAATCGTAATAAGAATCAATTGAGAAATCTTCATTGGTATCCATGCGAAAATATGGTGTTGATGTCAATTCGCATGTGCACTTTGAATCATCGGTTCTACGTCTTCAAATTACGGGAAAATTATATTATAATCCATAGTTGAATTTCGTTATCGCATATAGTTTTTTTAAAAACCAATTCAATAACACTACAATATTCTATCGCACGCAGCTACGATGATTATAAAAAATAAGATCATTGTATCTCGATTTATCTCTAATTTTGTAATTAAAATGCATCTTGTCAAAAATAAGCAATTGTCTGTCTACTTTAGAGCGATAACGTGTATAGAGACATTTTCACATACCTATGATTAAAACCTTTACACACAAAAGTCTTTTCGTAATCACATGCTCGACAACAATCCTGTAGATTTTCACAATTGACGATACGCTCGATGAATAATCCCATCATTTTCTTGCCAGGTAGCAGCTTTCGATGACAAATTATAACTAAATTTTTGAAACATATTTATCTAATTGTAAGCTATACATACATCTATATCACACGCAACATTAACAGATCGTAATACGAGAACATTTGCGTAACATTTACTAATAAATGAATATGTAAAATCCTAGCATTAGGATTTGGATAATCCTGTCGTAGCATTGTAAACTTACGTGCAAAATCATCGTTATTACTTCTCTTCGAGATCGTTGAACTATGAATCGTACGAAGAAGAAGCAGCGAGATAAAGAGACTCCAAAACCACGATTTTCTAAACATATCTGCTTTTGTTTCTTTAATTATTAAAACCGACACAGCCAATTCAGAAAGACTCTCTTTTCTTAATCGAAATAATTAAAGTCGTTGTATTTTTTGGCCACGATGATTTTCGTAACAAACACAAAAATATTAATTTTCGTGATCATACTTCCTCCATAAATCTTCTTCAACTTCTTCCAACTATATCGAGCTACATTTATTATGTATTAACAGTATTATTGAGTATGAACGGAGAACACTACACCCTTCAAGAGATACCGAACATGTGTAAAACTGTATACGATGGAAACACCAAAACGTGTAAAAAGTAATAATGAAATTGAAGTCCAGCATGGTTTTATAGAAAAGTGAGTGCTTCGGATGTAATAGTGGGAGGAAATATTCGCACGTTGGAGGAGGGACATCATGATGATTGCTAAAGGTTGTTTGGAAGAATTGGTTTCTTAATATGCAAATACAACGATTGTCTTCACAAATACAGCGAGGACCGTAAGTATCGAGGCATCTATCGATATTTATTACAAATTGAATGCTTCTCGCTGCTTCTATCTTCTAGTTGTTTTATTATTGTACTGCGAATATTTATATAAATTCACATATTCATGGCTCGTTCATCAAACAGAACAAGTTAGTCGTATGCTATGATATTGAATTTCTTCGATTTTATTTATCGAATTTTAAAATTGTATTATAATTTTTGATAGAGTCTGTATTCAATACGTTAGAATTCTATATGGAAGATACTTTTTACTTGCCATTACTTGCCATTTTGTTTCATTATCAATTTACTATTAATTTTTCATACATTAAAATTATGTCACTTTAAAACTAAGCAAGCTCTATTATTTACGTCCTTCGAGATACGTCAAGGATACAAGATGCTATTATTTCAGCTAGCTCGATCATTCTAATTGTAGTATGATTCGAAAAAATTGGTCATTTACATATACATGCAGTACTTTTTTGTCGATGAGCCATCGCTTCTAAGAAAATACTAACTTTATAACACGTTTATTTATATTGAGCAATTATTATCACATAAAATAGAAATGTTTAGGAATCATAGTAACGATAGTCGCGTAATTACACTATCAAAAATGTATTTATTAGTAATGTATTTAAGCAGTGTATATATATATAGTGGGGCATAAAATATTGCAACTTACCGAAAGGTGTGGGCGATGTTTCTTTATTTTTGTTTCCGATAATATCCAGAACACTACGATTATTGTCCTCGGAAAGAAATCGTTGATCGTGATTAATAAGCAAACCATAGTTACCAATACGTCCATGATTCGTCATGCCATTTTTGTTTCTTGAAATTTCAGAAATATATCATTTTACATGATTTCTTTAAATTGTTACGTTCGATGCACTGTAGATTACTGATCACTAAACTGTGGATATTTTCTTTGCCGATCGTGAATATGATTTTCTATCGTTAAAAGTAAAGAGAGAAATAAAAAGGGAATTACCTTGAAGATGTTAACGTATTATGTGGTGCCAATACCGAAATTGGTTCTGGTATTAATTTTGAGAAGGGATTATCATTATTTATAATGGATCCTTTACTAATAAGCTTATTTGCTTTCGTTGAACGATTTTCATCTTCGCGTACGAAACTTTTATAGAAACGGTCAAAATCGCACCATATCGAGTCTCGTCGTTTTTTCGCGTAAACATCGTACTCCTGATCGGTTTCTAAATTTTCTAATGCCGGTATCTGTCGACTAATTAGACAGGTACTGTTACCCTTTACACCAACGCTAGAAAGAAAAAGAAAGTGAAAGAAAGGGAACGTTGTATCGATTGGTAAAATGCCACGGTGGCTCGATAAAATGTTACGTTGATTTAAACAATTTTTTCGCGATATCGACAATATCCCGTACCCAAATGAAAACGCATTGCAATCATGCTTCTTTCCTAAACAATTATTTTCACATTCCGTTAAACTCATGGCATTAGTTCGTGACGCGATGTCCATTTCGGGTAACTTAGAACCAATGGATATCCTTGTAAAACAATCTAAATCAAAAGATCTATTTTTATCGTTACAATATTTATAACAGAAACACATTTTCTACGAATACGTTTTACTATACGAATTACCATTCCCGGTAGGTGTTAAACGATTATCAATTGTAAGACACAGAGTATGTGAACATTGTTGAAGAATACTGAAAATTTGGAACACGAGTGGCAAAGATATGTAACTCGGTCTAAACATTTTAGCATCGGTCTAACGAATGATTATAATTTGCTTATATTCTTAGTCGAAAGATTAATCAAATAAAGATTCGATCGGTTAGAACGGCAAATAACCGGATTCACTATTATTATAAAACGTAATGACATTATCGATAACGCGGCCATACATCTTACACTAGATACTTTAATCGAAATGAGATAGTTTTCTAGTTAGGTTTCTGTAACATTCAACGATCTAAACTTGACTGAGAATACTAACGAACAGCAATGCTCTCTTATACAAAATGTAAAGAGTGTTCTCCAAAGCCGCTATTACGTTAGAAACGTTTCTCTGCCCGTTGCTTCTCCTTCTTCTGTTGTAGATCTCTACTCATAGACACGAAGAAACTCTTTCAATGTGCACTTGCGGCACATTGTTCTCCTGGTTACATGTACATCACGATGTTCAAATAACGCGCTCCTTTCTTCTCGCGTTTATTCACGCGACTTGGTCGCGCAGAATGAACGCCGCTAATTGGGTTACTCGCACAATACAACTTTACGCTGCAGGTACATACCTGAAATGAAATTAAGGATGCAGGATTTATGTAATTGATTAAATTTATCCTCTGATATACAGCGGCTCACAAAAGTATTTCAACGCTCATAGAAACTTGTTATAAATATATTATGTATCTTGTACAAAACGTTTTCAGATTTCATTACTTACTTATGATAAAAATAATTTCTTGTAAAATTTGTTTTCAAGTTTACAGTTGTTTTTCCAAAAATCAATATTCTTAAGTCACGGCATCGTTGCACCACAGGAGGCATACAATTTCAATCGCTTTAAACGATTATCACATTTAACGGAATCTCTCAAACGAATTCCTTATGCATTGAATCATCATTACTATGAACTATCTGAGGCATAACGGCATAACCGAAGGTACTGTACTAAAGAAATGCTTATGTAACGGAAGTGAGACGAGTTAAACATAAACAAAGCTGGGATGCGTTACGCTTCGCGAAGCCTGGCCCAAAGAGGGAATGACTCACCTTACCACTATCATTCTGTGCTTATGAGCACAAAATTCCTCTATTTGTTTCATTATGTACACTAAACGTGATACATACTAACTACCATGATTAGTACTGAATTACATTAATAAATTTTATACCCGCAACTCGTTGAACGAAGAAAGAAATAATTACATTTTTAATTTCATTTCAAATATCATAATTATTTGATATCGATATGAGTAATATCACATATATCAGAACTACTTAATGTGTCATAAAGAGCATAAAATATTTTTTATTTTCATTAAAAATGTATTAAAAATATTAGTCATATAAGAAAGGCATAGTTATAGAAAAATTTACAAATGGCATATATTTTTTTAAACCAAATGTAAGAATCTGCGCATTGATTCGTGTACGTATTTATGCACAATAGGAAGGTTGTGATCTTATCCTAAATCGTTATCGAGGAATAATTACAAAGAACATATGTTCTTCCATATTATTCCATATTTATAAAATCATTAAAATAAGGAATCGAAAGAAGGCTAGCAACAGGCATAAGGTTTCTCTTGCATTCCGTGAGCGATACTAAGGTGTTGAGCACCTTCCTCGACAATCGGTGTACATAATATGTCTATATCGTTAGGATCCAAGTTTGTCGATTCGTATACTCTTATCGGTGTAGAGTTATGGTCAGTCGAAGGTAATCCAAGGAGACCTCTAGCAACAGTTAAGAATACATTCTCAATGCCTTCGCCTTGAAGAACCGACGTTTCATGATAGCTTGCACCAATTTTCGTAGCGTAAAGTCTACCCTCCTCTGCATTGACTTGTCGCTTTTCTATTAAATCCGATTTGTTTCCGATTACTGCTAATACCAGAGCTTCTTCCACGTTTCTTCGAAGTTCTGTCACCCATCGTTTCATTGCTGCAAACGTATTGTACTGAGTTAAATCAAATACCAACATAGCTGCATTAGCATTTCGATAGTACATTGGTGCCATTGATCTGAACCTTTCTTGTCCTGCTGTGTCCCAAATCTATATCCCATAAAACAAATAAAGCCATGCAGTATTCAGCTCTAATAATGTAATAAAGATATCTTTGAAAATTCAGTATATTATATTGTATTTTGTCTTGAAAGTGTTTATACAAATTCTTAAGCAACATCGAAAGCTATTTAACGTGTTCTAACAAATAGAAACATGGAGAACAAAGAGAAATAATTTTATATTTATCGTTGTACCCGTAGCATTATTCCTGTATCTTGTATATTTAACTTGCAATTAAAAAACAATGCTCCAATTGTAGGATTCACCTGACCGTTGTACGTTTTCCCAATATAATGCATGATCATGCTTGTCTTACCGACACCTGAAAAATTACAAATTAGAAGTAGATAGTATTATAAAGTAGTTTGAGCATATCAATGTAAACAATAAACTAACCTAAATATTCTTTAATAAAGCTATACAAGGTTATACATGGTTTCGAGGAATAAACGTATATAGGTATAGACACGAAATATAGAACGAAAGAAAATGAAAAATGTAAAATGTTTATTATTACGCAGAATTTACCTTGTGAACCCAAAATGACTATCTTTCCCTCTGTCTTCATTTTCTATGTTAAAGAGCAATACATAATGACACAGCTACCTTCCACTTTCATTTATCCTAGAAGTAATTAATTCAACAACAAGGTGATTTTTGTCATATAACGTATAATCTGGCAAAACAATTATTAAAAACGCTTCTTGAAAACTAAAACAAAGTTTCAAATACATAATAACGATCAGCGAATAATGTTAAAATAAGGTGTGTACATTATATAAAATCTAGATACTACATACCTGTTTTTATAAGATGACAATATTTCTATCCAAATACCGAAGTACACACTTGAGAAGTGAGAAACACGTTGAATTATGAATCATATTTCAATTGCATAAATAGATTTATCTATTGAATAAAACATAGTATTACGGCGACATCTATTATCACTGGTAACAACTAGCATCATGCCTATTCCTACATCTTTAATCTTCTATCTAACTACTTAAATGATAATATACCGATCAACATATTGAAAAACTCAGTTGTTATCGACGGAGGATAAAATAGAGAATATCTGTAATACCGACTTTGCGAAGAATTGGAGTGTTATTCACGCCCTCTGCGATTTACTGCGGTGAATATAGGAAACTATATTCAACTCAATTGTCAAGAACGATAAAATCAATATGTGCATACATACACAGTTTCACGGAAAGATCTTTATTAAACTTTTGAAAAGAAAATCTATCGATGTCAATAACTTCGTTTTGCGGCACACCGAATTTTTAATATCGTTCTTTATCATATAGTTTTTGACAAGTAAAGTCCAAAAGCCTTACCTTAAGGCGCGCAGCTGATTCATCTAAAAGTTATTATTTATTTCGGTAAACCGTGTAAATTTTATATACGTAACTTTTAAATAAATTATATGTACATATATCGTGTTCTTCCTCTGTAATATCCTCTGTAGTACGATATAAAGTATCAGTTAACGTAAAATCTGTTTCTAAAAAAACTCGAGCAAACGATGCTTCGTTGATTTGGAAAATTTTTTGGTATTTCCTGTACAAGATCAACGATAATCTAATAAATAGCGATGCTATTTCAGAAGGCGGTTCTCGTTCCTCCTTCTATGTTTCCGACGCCATTTTACATTGATTACGATGCGGTTAGCTCCTTCCAATTTCCCACCGTACTATACGTAAAGCGAGTATTTGTTCCGTTCCTTTAGTGCTATCCCTTCTTGGTGTTTGTTCGCTTCATACACAATACGCAGCCTTCGTACTCATTACTCGCCTCTCCTTTTTATCTTCCTCTCGTTTCTCATCATGTTCTCGTTTTTGTCGTACGAATTGAAAATCAGAAACGCGCGAGTCAAGATTTCGCCAATTTGAATTCAATCGCACTTATTTTAACTTTTATTTTACTTCAACTTTATCGACACTTCAGTTCCATGATTCGATTAATCTCGCGTTCGGTAAAAATGTGGCTCGTATGGCGCTCACTTTTGTTCTCGACACCTCGATTGATCGATAAATAGCCGGTTCACGGTAAAGTGAAATGTGAATATCACGTGACAAATATCACCTCGCAGCTCATCCAATAGGTCGCATCTCGTGATGCTCTCACTCTCTTTCTCTCTCTCTCTCTTGTCTCCTGGCATCGTCGTTCTTGAGTTGATTGTCGTAGATCTTATTATCCCCTCTTGTCTCAAAGAGGGACCAAGCTACAACTCGGGGGTGTGTATGCTCTCATATACTCTCTCTATTCGTGTTCATCTCTACACGTGTTTGCACGCGTGTGTATGTATACCTAGAGGTTAGTCCGACGAAGGGTGAAGTCCCCTTTGTAGCCTTGGGCCAACCTTGTTAGCGCTAATGATGGAATCCGTCGCGAGATCCGCGAACGAGACGAGTCGGATCTTCGATTTCCCGTCATCGCTCGCGCGATTATTCCTTCGTCAGTCATACGATCATTTTACGCCACGATCTTTATTCATCAACGGGAATACATAGATCCGCTGCATTGAAATTTCCAATACATAATTTTTAGTAACCCTGTTAAGTTTCGATCTCTCTCTTTCTCTCTATCAGATTTTTAATATTTTACGAACCTGTTTTCTCATATATTTAGCGGATAGGTTAAGTTATATACGAAGGCTACAGGTGGAAGCGTAAGTCACGTTTCGTTTGATTTTTCGATTAAATGTGCGTTTTCTCATCTATCGAAGTATTCGAAGAACGTCGGTAACATCACCCGCGCGGTTTAATTAACGTAGCGACTAAATTGCGCGATACTATTCGTTTCTTTTACGAAACATTATGGACTTAGGGATAGAAAGTAAGGCGCAGTGGCGAATGTAAGAAAGAAGAGGAAATAAAAGATAAATAGAAATAGGAAGGAGAGTTGCCGAGCGACCTTATCCACCGTTAGTCACGGAAAGCCATTAGACCGGAAAACGAGGTAGAATCGCAAAACGCAATGGCGTCTAGAAACAAACGACGGCCGATAGGAGCGAACAAGCAGTGAATCACCTAAGCACTTGTTTACCAAGAGAATCAAGAATTCAGGGATGCCGTTCCAAGTCTCGGAATCCTGCCCCATTGGTTTTCCAACCCCACCACGACTTCCTACTACACCGGAGCTAGCGCAATGTCGTCGTCGTCGTCGTCGTCGTCGTCGTCGACGTCGTCGTCATTCGTCCTCTTTGTCGTGTGAACGAAAAGGACAGAAATAGAGAGTCGAAGGTTGGGAGTTGAGAGTGAAAAGCGCATGAGGGGTGACGACGGCCACTGGCAGACTCGGGGTAGGAGAGAGAAAGAGAAAGAGAAAGAAAGAGAGAGAGAGAGAGAGAGAGAGCCGGGAAAGCGGCACTAGAATCGCTAAATGTAATTCGGTTAAAAGGGTTTTAGCAATACAATGCATATAAACATGAGTGCCCCGCCTCCGTTCTCGTCTGCGCGCTCCACACTCTTGCGCCACCCTCTAGTTAGTCCCGCGAAACACCCCGCGACCGTCGTAATCCTTAACTTGGCCGAAGCAAGATTTTCATCGTCTGCGTTCTAACGTGCGATCGACTCTGATAATAATAAAACGTACACTACACACGCTCCCCCGGTCAGATGTTACTCCGTAAATTATTCGGATTAAGGAAATCGAAGTTACGAGGTTCGACGAGAGTCCACTTTCCGATACCACGTCGCTGCTTCGATGAAATTAGACGATACAATCGGAAATTTGCGAAATTTCGAATTAGGTCATCAAAATACCCGAAACACTCAAGAAATTCCTGGCCGATAGAGATAGAGATAGAAATAGATAGATAGATAGAGATAGAGATAGAGAGAGAGAGAGAGATAGAGAGAGGGAGAGAGAGAGCAAAAGGTTTTACGTTATCATTGAAATATTAGACGTTGTACTATGCGAAAGCGATATAATTGTTGAATTTGCGTGAAATTAAAGAGGAGAGAGAGAGAGAGAGAGAGAGAAGAGGAAAGGAAATGGCACGAAAAAGTAGTCCTCTCGCTGATTTTTAAACGAGCTTTAAAACATCGCTATCTCTGTATTGGAAAAACTGGTTAGCAAATTTACAAACATCATGGCACAAAGCCATCCCTTTTTTCACATTTCTCGGGATGTTTAGATGCGCGGCTTGACGATTAGCGAATCCCTTCATTTAATGCCGCATGGAAGAATAAGAAAATAGGAGCAGCGTTGCTCGACGTTTTTGTTGAAATGCTTCCAAAAATCTTTCTTTACTTTCTAGATATGTTCCTGCATTTTCATCGTTGTTTTTCAATCGTAGTATCTTTAGTTAGCCGAAGTTAACCTTCAGAAGAAAGAAAAATGATAATATATGCACTGCGGTTGAAAAATACCACCCGAATGTCTTGATAGATTCGTCGCGACGCTCTGTGAATCTTATTAAAACGCACAAATTAATGGCAAATTGACGACTAAAGGTAACGCTCTCTTATGAATTCGTCTAACCGTAAATTTAAATCATTTATTAAAAATTTAGCGGCGGTACGTATCTTTCTTTTTACGAATAAATACACCAGTCGTGAAAGAAACCTGCCGATGTTTCTCCTCAACTTTCCTCGATGTTCAATTAATCGTAAGAGTCAGCGTTCGTTCGAACGTTTCGTTGTTCGATCGAAATTTATAATAAGAGACGCTATGAACTTCCCGAGCAATCTAACATTATCGAACCTTATCGATTTCAATTAACGACGTCAAACATAGAAAATATGGTTTCTAAATGTTCTTAAAAGTGTCATGGAGACCGATCCCCATTTTTAGAAGAACGATATACGACGATATCTGGTATACCGTATAGTTTTTCTTCTCCAGTTCCTTCCCATTCCTTCGTTGACGACTGGTTTTCCAAACGGGTGGTTTCCACTGGCTGTAGCCGGTAAGAGCAGTCGTCCGCGAAACATCGCGGAATTTGTAACGGGAAATTAGCATATCATAAATACTGATGATTCTTCGCTTGCGTGTGGGGATAACTGCGTGGTGGGAAACATATGATCGTGTCTCCTTTGAATATCATCCAGCTTATTTTTACAAGAAAAACCACTCACAATCAGTTTGGAAGCAACATAAACTTAAGACGGATTCGTTTACGTTGCGAATATCTCGTTGATTTTCTGTAATTTTAGTTAAACGCGTGACGAATTCTTCGCATCGATTCCTGTCGTTCGTCGATCCTTTTTCCAAGCTCCATGCAAACCTGCAACGCTTTGAATAAAATTTGTAAAACGAAGAGGAGTAAATATAGGAGTCGTACTGTTGTCTTCGATATTTGTGATTTATTTTAGGAACTTGTTGCGACATAATATGACGTTTTCCTTCGCATCGCACTTTCTACCCTAGACGTATACGAATATTATTTACAATTATGTAATTTATCATAAATAGATACGTGTTTTCAATTCATGTAGATCTAGAGCAACAGTTGGAGAAGAGTTACAGTCAAGAGTGTTCAATCTTTTCACAAGGCGCTTAGCCATTGCGTTCTAATCGATGGTTTTATACAACTATTGCTGCGAATCGTCGCGTATATATATAATTCCTCCCACTTTATACCCATTAATATAAGCCATATTTTCTTTTCTTCCCTTTGATACGAGCCTTCGTTATGTAAACATTTCAAAACGACTCGGGGGAACACCGTAAAGAGGATTCGATTAATTTTCTAGGCATATCGCTGCTGATAACGGCAATCGTGCGCATGCACCGGTCTGACATGGGCTCGAACTTGTGTACACTGCGTCTCATAACTACAAAACCACCCAGAAACATTCAATTTTTATCTACAGTGTTATGTATTAGTCACTGAGAAGTCACATCAATGAACTTGATAAATCTGAGAAGTAAGCGACGATGTTACGAACACCGTTTTTTAA